TGGCCAGTTGCCTTCAAAGAAGAAATGTGAGGTTTCCATGTCAACCGGCAATCGAAGAGAAGGCCAAGAAACTTGACCATATCACATTCTGTATTACAGGAGCTGTGTAAATACAATGGAGTATCTGGGATAAGAGGACACCTAGTGAAGGTAATGAAATGGATTTTCGTACTTGAAAATTTAAAGCCATGTGAAGTGGCCGAATGGGAAACTCAGTCAGTCGCATCTTGAAGGGAGGCTGCTACTAGGTGACAGTCAGCACCTGAGTAAGCTACAACAAAGTCATCTACATAAAGTGACGACCAAATATGCGGTGGAAGAACGGAAGGTAGGTCATTCATAGCTAATAGAAAAAGGGTAGTGCTAAGGACATAACCTTGTGGGACTCCCTCAGCTTGTACAAAGTCTGAGGAAAGCGAGGCGCCAACATGGACCCAAAAATGTCTGTCAGATAAGAAAGAAGCAAGGAAGGTTGGTAAATTACCACGGAGGCCTAAAACTAAAAAGTGGGCTTGGGCTAGAATGTTATACCTCCAAGTGGTGTCATATGCCTTCTCAAGATCAAAAAAGACTGCTAGGATGGAGTGTTTGTTAGGAAAGGCATTTCAAATACAGTGGACCCTCAACCAACGGCATTAATCCGTTCCAGAGAGCTTGCCGTTGGTCGAATTAATTTTCCCCATAAGAAATAATGGAAATAGAATTAATCCGTTCCTGACACCCCAAAGTATGAAAATTTTTTTTTTAAAGATTAAATATAAATATACATACAGAAAACAATGACAAATAAATATAAAGCACTAATAAAATGGATAAATGAATATTTAACATCACACTTATCTTTACTGACTTATCTTTACTGACTCGACTTGTTGGTGTATGACAGACACGTAGGAGACAAGAGGAAGACAATATGACGCTAATATCATCTCTACAGCTTATTTATCTAGCACAATTCATCTAATATGGCATTATAAACAATATTATTGACACAGAAACATGATATATACTCTAGAATGAATAAAATATGTCATAATGTTGGTGTATGACAAGACACGTAGGAGGCAAGAGGAAGACAAGTTTATTATGCTTCAATATGAGGCTAATATCATCTCTACAGCTTATTTATCTATCACAATTCATCTAATATGACTTTACAAACAATATTAATAAAATAGAAACATGATATATACTCTAGAATGAATAAAATTTGCCATAATCTATGAGAGAAGTAAATGGTGTAAGTGTTATTGTTGGGTGTAAGGGCCGCCACTGAGAGAAGCCGTGTTGGTGGCAGTGGAGGATTTTGCCAGCACCACTATCACACTTAAACAATGTATGTAATTTATAAATAAGAAATATTTTAATTTATAAATAAGAAATATTTACATTTTAATAAGTAAGTTTATTCAGGTATTCACAAATACAGTTACATAGATTATCATACATAGCAGCATGTGTAAAGTACCTAGGATAACCCAAAAAAGTCAGAGTGACTTACGTATTTCCATTGGGGTCCTATTTTCAGCTAATTCCATTGTTCCAGTCAACCAAACTCATAACTATTTCTTTAGAACTCCATTTGTTCTAATGAATGAGTACAAGAAACTGCCCATTTACTGATTTCAACTACCCAATAACATGGTCAGAAATTGGCAATTTGGCCAATTTCATGCAAATTAAAAAATATGCCAATTTCAAAATAGGGTCCAGAATGAACAATGGCTCTAAAATAACATTTTCTTTGTTCATCAGTCACGTCTCCAGGCCCCTCTGATATTACTCTTGCTTTCTATTTTGAATTTTTATTCAAACAAAAATTAGAAGATTTCCTGTTTTGCAGACTACTGGAATATTGTAATAAATGTGTAAATAACATCAACCCATTCATGACTGCATATTAGAATGGCTAGTTGGACATTTATTGGACAATGACATCATTTGTTTACTCTTGAACATCAAATCATATCAAATCAAAGTTTATTCTCTATAAGGATTACAATGCAAGGTTTACAGATTTTGGTTATTGTGTGGTTTACATGTAGTAAAATACTAATTACAGAGGGGGCCACTAGAACACCTAGCATGGCTAGGCATTTCGGGCAAACTTAGATTAATTCTTAACCCTAAATTATAACAAATTGTGGAGTAAGTTGACTAAATACTAAGTGACAAATACTAGTTTGTAAGTTTAGCAATGTGAATGCTTTTGTTTTGGCACAATACATAGTTTCTATATTGGAGTATCACAGGCAAACTTATGACTAGTTAGAAATCATTATTTTAAGATTAGGATACGTATTTCTGTGCTTATAGTCAAATGGGTGAGTGAGTGTAAATGTGGACCACCAGGTGGTTTTTATGTAGTTAGTTGATGGGGTGTATCAGGGAGATAAGATGTTTTCTAACAGTAGTTTTGAAGGTGATGAATGTGTCTGCTGTTCTAGAGTTTTCAGGTAGAGTGTTCCAGATTTTAGGACCTTTGACATACATTGAGTTTTTGTAAAGGTTTAGTCGGACAAGGGGAAATGTCGTAGAGATGTTTGTGTCTGGTGTTATGCCTGTGGGTCCTGTCACAACTATCAAGAAAGCATTTTAGGTCAAGGTTAATATTGGAATTTAAGGTCCTGTATATATAGATTGCATAAATCAAATAAAAAATCAAAAATCAAACATTTCCTCTACTTTGAGCTCCATTTCCAGGTTCTTTTCATAGTAAAACCAATCAAAATCACCTCTATAATATGTTTTCCATTCTATCAAATGAGACCAAGAAAATGAGAATATAACCATAAATAAATACTATACGAAAATAGACCACAAAATTGGCATTTTAATTAAAAAAAAAAAAGGAGTTTTTTTACTCATTATGCACTGCATACTGCAGGATTTTTTTATATGGTGCACACTGACCACACAGACCCATTCTCTCACATGTGGGCCTACCAGCTTTCTCCTGCTTGATTTAAAGCCACTAGAATTTATGAGTATATATACGACAAACACGGCGGCTCGTAAGACGTATATATACGACCAAAACAGTCAAAGGGTTAACATCACACTTACCTTTATTGACTCTTGTTGGTGTATGGAAGACAAGTAGGAGGCAAGAGGAAGGAGAGTTTATTATGCTTCAATATGACGCTAATATCATCTCTACGGCTTATTTACCTATCACAATTCATCTAATATGACATAATAAACAATATTAATAACATAGAAACATGATATATACTCTAGAATGAATAAAGTATGTCATAATGTATAAGAGGAGTAAGTGGTGGTGGTGGTGGTGTGGGGTTTATAAGGGCTACTGAAAGAAGCCATACATATTAGTGGTGGTGGAGGCAGCAGCAGAAGCCACCACCACTATTCACACTTAAACAATATATGTAATTTATAAATAAGAAATATTTACATTTTAATTTATAAATAAGTAAGTTTATTCAGGTATACACAAATACAGTTACAGACATAGATTATCATACATAGCAGCATATGTGTAAAGTACCTAGGATAACCCAAAAAAGTCAGTGACTTAGTTCCATTAGGGTCCTTTTATATTTACACTTATATTTACTTTTATACTTACACTTTTATATTTACACTTACCTTGGAGATGATGTTAGTTTAATTAGTTAATTTGATGGAGGAGATTCTGGTAGAGGTTTAGGGTGGTGGAAGATAGCAGGCTGGCGTATGTTCAGCGGCCCGATACACATCCAACAACACTGGAGAGTTATTTTCGTGTCATTTTTCTATCGCTTACTCGCTTAACCCTTTGAGGGTCGCCAGGCCCTCTCAGAGACTTGTTCTCAGGGTCGCCAAAATTTAAAAAAAAAAAAAAAAAAAAAAAAAAAAATTATGAAAAGACAGAGAATCTTTTCTCGATCATAATGACACCAAAAGTATGAAATTTGATGGAAAACTTACGGAATTATGCTTTTACGAAGTTAAGCGGTCTCGACGATGTTTACGCATCGGCAATTTTGCCCACATTGAGCCCTATTTTCGGCCAATTCCAGTGTACTAGTCGACAAAAATCATAACTATTTCACTAGAACTCTGTTTTTTCTATCGAATGAGCACAAGAAACCACCCATTTGCCGATTTCAACTATCCAATAAAGTGGTCAGAATTTAGCAATTTTGCCAATTTCACACAAATTTCAAAAGATGCCAATTTCCAAATAGGGTCCAGAATAAACAAGAAAGACATTCATGGCACTAAAATAACATTTCCTCTGTTCATTAGTCACATCCCCACACCCCTCTTACATTTCTTTTGCTTTCCACTTTGAATTTTTATTCTCACAAAAAATAGAAGATTTACTGTTATGCAGACTAGTGTATTAGTGTAGAAATGGTATAAATAATACCAGCGCACTTGTGAAAGAATATTAGATTCACCAGTTGACATGTATTGGACGCGTGGCATGATTTGTTTACTTTTGAACTTTGGCAAAAATCGAACATTTCTGCTACTTTGAGCTCAATTTCAAGGTACTTTTCATTGTGAAACCAATCAAAATCGTCTCAATTTCTGTAATATGTCTTCCATTCTATAAATAAGACCAGGAAACTAGAATACAACCATAAATACCATACGAAAATACAGTGCAAAGTCGCTGTTTTAAACCAAAAACATGGTCAAAGTTTTTTTTTTCTCATTACGCACTGTGTGCTGCAGGATTTTTTTTTATACTGTGCACACTGACCACATAGACCCATTCTTTCATATGTAGGCCTACCAACTTTCTCTCACTAGATTTGAGGGCGTTAGAATTTAGGCATACTAGTACGTCAAAAACCCTGGGTCATAAGCCATACTAGTATGTCCGAAACCCCCAAAGGGTTAAAGGAAACATTCTGCCACGAGTGGCTTCTTCAGTCCAATGTATATATTTATTTTCATAGAGAATTTCATAAGGTGTAGATGATTCTACAGGTACAACTGTGAACAAATATTTTTATAGGAAATGTGTAGATGAGGGAAAATACTGTAATCTCAAATTTTATTAAATAAGAAATATATCCACTATATACACCCAAATGAAAATTTATCTTAAAAATATCATCAGTTGCTTTTAAAACTGGTAAGAAAATGAATATTTCATCTAAATCAATTCAAATTACAAGAAACTTAATGCTGTGTTCCCTGAAAATTGTTTAATTAAATATCATGTAGGGGTATCTTCAATGTAAACGTTGCATGAACACGCTCACAATTTCACGCTACTTGACTGTTTCTTAAATGATGTACAAGTGTACATAGATTAGCATTATACTGTAATATACATTTCTGTGAGCAACTGGTTCATCTGAGGTTTAATTGTAACACTTCATCAATATACACAACGTTTAACAAGTATGAGACCTCAATAGTGTTTGAGCATAGTTAAGAACAATTAAGCTTAAAATGTACCAATCCAACATATTGTTACTATGGTATGCATTTAAGGCACAAGAATTCTTTTAATATATTAAAATCTCATTAGTGAAGTTTACTATAAACTCTAGTACAAAGTACAGTTGAAACCCCACATTCATGAACTTCAAAATTCGTGAAACTGGAGTATATGTTTTAACTGAAGGGTATCTCACAAATGGCTTTGAATATATACAATTTCTTTTGGAGGTGCCCATTTTCTTAGCTTACCACATAACCCCAAGTTGAAAATTACCCAAAGAATTTTCTTCAAAATGTGCTCAATGGCTTTCCCTATGTTTACTGTAACACTTTTTCTATGAATGTCAATGTTAATCAGATAAGAGTGATACTTAAAGAGCTATAGGCTCTGCAACATAAAATAAAATTTAGTACTCTAAAATAAAATTTAGTATTCAAAGAGAATTTTTGTATTAGTATTTGAGAATTCAAGATTCACAAGGCCTCCAGGAATGTAACCTTCATGAAATTGGGAATTCAACTATCCAGGGGCTCCTACACATACTAACGAGTTGAGTTCTTAGTGGTTGCACTTATGAAGTAGTTGTGTTCCCAGTGTTTAAACTTCAAGTTTAAACAGTGTTTAAACTTGAACCTATTATATAGAAAATGATAATACCACACAAAGGATAATTGTATCCCATGTGTTCATAACTGCAAACTGGCACTGATAAAACAATTATTTTCTCAATATCATGTCTTTTGAACCCCATTCATAAATGTAGATCATCATAACTCAGGTGTTCATAAATCGGGGATCCCCTGTACAATAAAGTATAACAAGTTTTACACCGAAAAGATGTTTCATGTAAGCTATAAAAAATATAACAGAATAATAAATGTATTAGGTAGCATTCATCTGAGTAATGTCAGACCCCAGCCCATTAATCTATAAAAGCTTCAGAATATTAAAATTACTTTGTAAACTTTACAATAGTTATCTTTAACTCTGATTATAATAATGTCACTCAGGTAAATGGTCCTGGTGGCAATCTAATGAAGACAGAATATACTATTTTATTAAATTATTTTTGTTATCCTGTTACAATCTTATACATGTCAACCTTCTATCACATATAGTGTTTCAATATTAAGCTACTGGTACTGTTTACTGACACATTAACATATAATTACTCGATTGTCCTACTAAACAAATAATATTAACCTATTTTTCAATTATCAATGTTGGAGGTCTGTAAAGCTGTCCAATCACAACCTGTAAGAGAGAAGCAAGAGTTTGATGAACCTTATAAACAAAAATTTCAGTGTTTGGAAGTAAAATATAAATGATTATTATTTTATTCATGAATCCTGACTCTCTTGACCCATGAGGGTCATACAGTATTGTAATCTAAAAGGGATGGCTAATGAAAGGGGAGCTAAAATGGCAGAGAAAGTGTTTAGAGTGGACATAAAACAGAATTTAAAACCTCAGTCAGAAGATTACTGTAAGCCTTGAATGAAGTCAGAAAATTTACATCAACAGAAGGACTTTCAGAAAGGAGGGTACACAAAGTAAGTATGAAAGCTCTATTGAAGATATGACAAATTAAGGATAACACACACTCAGATAATTGGGGAATGCAGAGGTGTTGGTGAGTGTGAAACATAAGCCTGTAATTGTTTTGCAAGATAGTAGGATTGCTGGTCTCTTTTTCTGTCTCATAAACATGCAACATTGCAGGTATGTCTTGCTACTTCTACTTACACTTAGGTTACACTACACATGCATGTACAAGCATATATATACTAACCGCTCTGGGTTTTCTTCTATTTTTCTTCCTAGTTCTTGTTCTTATTTATTTCTGCTTATCTCCATGGGGAAGTGCAACAGAATTCTTCCTCCTAAGCTATGCGTGTCGTAAGGGGCGATTAAATGCCAGAAGCAATGGGCTAGTAACCCCTTCTCCTGTATAAATTACTAAAAACAAGGAAAAGCAAAAACTTTATAAAATTGGGATGTTTGAATGTGCGTGGATGTAGTATCTAGATAAGGGTAAAGAGGTATTTGTGGCATTTATAGATTTGGAAAATGCATATGATAGGGTGGATAGGGGAACAATGTGGCAGATGTTGCAAATTTATGGAATAGGAGGTAGGTTATTGAAAGCAGTGAAAAGTTTTTACGAGGATAGTGAGGCTCAGGTTAGAGTATGTAGGCGAAAGGGAGATTATTTCCCAGTAAAAGTAGGCCTTAGACAGGGATGTGTGATGTCATCATGGTTGTTCAAAATATTTATAGATGGAGTTGTAAGAGAAGTAAATACTTGGGTGTTGGCAGGAGGTGTAGGATTAAAAGATAAAGAATCTAATACAAAGTGGGAGTTGTCACAATTGCTCTTTGCTGATGACACTGTGCTTTTGGGGGATTCTGAAGAAAAGTTGCAGAGGTTGGGTGATGAGTTTGGTAGGGTATGTAAAAGAAGGAAATTAAAAGTGAATATAGGGAAGAGTAAGGTGATGAAGGTAACAAAAAAATTAGGTAACGGAAGACTGGATATCAGATTTGAGGGAGAGAGTATGGAGGAGGTGAATGTGTTCAGATATTTGGGAGTGGATGTGTCAGCAGATGGGTCTATGAAGAATGAGGTGAATCATAGGATTAACAAGGGGAAATAGGTGAGTGGTGCACTGAGGAGTCTGTGGAGACAAAAAACTTTATAATCCATGAAAGGAAAGAAGGGAATGTATAAGAGTATAGTTATACCAATGCTCTTGTATGGGTGTGAGGCATGGATTGTTAATGTTGAAAAAAGGAGAAGGTTGGAGGCAGTGGAGATGTCATGTCTGAGGGCAATGTGTGGTGTGAATATAATGCAGAGAATCTGTAGTTTGGAGATTAGGAGGTGTGGGATTACCAAACCTATTATCCAGAGGGCTGAGGAGGGGATACTGAGATGGTTTGGACATGTAGAGAGGATGGAAAGAAATAGAATGACTTCAAAAGTAAATAAATCTGTGGTGGAGGGAAGGTGGGGTAGGGGATGGCCTAGGAAAGGTTGGAGGGAGGGGGTAAAGGAGGTTTTGTGTGCAAAGAGCTTGGACTTCCAGCAAGCATGCATGAGCATGCTAGATAGGAGCGAATGGAGACAAATGGTTTTTAGGACTTGACATGCTGTTGGAGTGTAAGCAAGGTAACATTTATGAAGGGATTCAGGGAAACCAGCAGGCCGGACTTGATTCCTGGAGATGGGAAGTACAGTGCCGGCACTCTGAAGGACGGGTGTTAATGTTGCAGTTTTATAACTGTAGTGTAAGCATGCCTCTGGCAAGATGGTGATGGAGTGAGTGATGATGAGTTTTTCTTTTTCAGGCCACCCTGCCTTGGTGGGAAACAGTCGATGTGTTAATAAAAAATAAAAAAAAAAAGGTGTTGGACCATCAGCATTACCCGGCAACTCTTAAAGAGTGATGTTTTAGGTTTCTAGAAGTGTGCAATCAAAAAGGCCAAGGAATTTTTGTCTGTCTGCAACAGCCACCTTCCAATTATACCAGCACAAGAAACAGCAAAATCATCTACACAGAAGGAGATAAGCCCAAATTCCATAATGCTGCAACAGTGATAAACAAGATGGTAAACCATCCTGAACAAAGCTGAGAAAAACTAATGGGCCAAACTCAAAGAAGCATCATAAAAAGAAAAAGGAAACCTATCAGGGTAATAAAATCTGGAAAAGTACGCAAATGTATTTTCAATTTTCTGACAAACAGAACACAAAGAGTAGTGATAAATGTAGCAAAGTTCAGCATTAGCAGATTAGTACCCCAAGGCACAGTCCTGGTGCCTTTACTGTTCTCATTCTCATAAGCAAACATACATGAAAACCACTTGTCACAGTTTTGTATCATTACTTGCAGATACTAAAATAAGCATAATCACCTCAGTAGAAGACAAAAACTTCAAGATATAAACAAAGTTTTCCAGTGGGCAGTGTGGAATAACATGGCGTTCAATGGTGACAAGTTCCAACTGCTTAGATATGGAAAGAATGAAGAACTCAAGAGAGAGACTGTATACATAAAGCAAGAAGATCACCAATTAGAATTAAAGGAACATGTAAAAGATCTGGAATAATGTCAGCTGACCTCTCTTTCCAAGAGCACAATAAGGCAAATACAGTATCACAAAAACCAACTGAATGACAGGGTGGATAATGAGAACTTTAATTAAAAAAAAGAGGAAATAGTGCCAATAATGACACTTTTCAAATTAACTGTGCTCTCTCAGAGCTAACAGCTCCTTTCAGAGCAGGAGAGAGATCAGAGCTGGAACAGATACACAAATCATTTACGGCCCCACAGAGAGCCAATAAAGCATCTAAATTACTGGGAACACCTCAAAGTCCTAAATTTATAATTCCTGGAGTGAAGCAGACACATAATAATAGCCTCTCCTCACTTAATGATGGAGTTCCATTCCTAAGACCACGTCATTAAACAAATTCGTCACTAAGTGAGGAGCATACTGTAATGGTAAGGAGTTTGTGTCAAAAATCTTTGATATTGTTTTAATGTCACCTTTGCACCATTTATAACATTTCTGGTATATTTTTAAATGTTTATACAGTAGTGTATGTACTGTATATTGACATAAAAAATATAGAGGAAATCAGCTCTATACATTTAGGTATGAATACTGATCAGAGTTCCCATTGTAACTCTGAGGCATCAGTAAATGAGTACATCATTAAGTGAGGAGAGGCTGTACTGTATGTATGGAGGGTACTTGAGGGCTTGGCTTCAAATCTGCACACTTCTATAAAAATATACTGGAGTGAAAGACATGGATGAATGTGCAAAGTAAACCCAGTGAAAAGCAGGCATACTGTAAGCACAATAAGAGAATACTGTATCAACATCCATGGGCTGAAACTGTTTAACCCTTTCAGGGTCCGTCCCGTAGATCTACGGCTTTACGTTCAGGGTCCAAACCGTAGATCTACGCCATGAGCTCAGCTCACTCTGATAAACTGTGAGTGGTACATTTGGGCCTAGATATGAGAGAATACATATATGTGGTATGTGTGCACCACATAAAACAGATCCTGCAGCACACTGTGTATAATGAGAGAAAAAAAATGAAATCATGATTTTTCGATTAAAACAGCAACTTTGCAGTGTTTTTTCGTATGTTTTTTATAGTTGTATTTGCGATTTCTTCGTCTCATTTGATAGAATGGAAGACATATTACAAAAATAGAGATGATTTTGATTGGTTTTAGCACTGGAAATGGCTTGAAACTGAGCTCAAAGTAGCAGAAATGTTAAATTTTTGCCGATATTCAAGAGTAAACAAACGACCTCACACGTCTAATACACATCAGCTGGTGGGTCTAATATACATTCACAAATATGGTGATGATATTTATACAATTATTACAGTATTGCATAACAGTAAATCTTCTATTTTTTGGTGTGAATAAAAATTCATTATGTGAATAAAAAATCAAAATGGAATTTATTTGTAAAGCCTCAAAAATAACTAATGAAGAGAGGAAATGTTAGTTTAGTGCCAGGAATGCCTACATTGTTCATTCTGGACCCTATTTTGAAATTGGAATATTTTGAACTTTGTGTTAAATTGGCCAAATTAACAATTTCCGATCACTTTATTTTGTAGTTGAAACAGTTGACTTGGCGATTTCTTGTGCTCAATCGATAGAATAGAAGTAATACTAGTGAAATAGCTAAGAATTTGGTTGACTGGAATAATGTAATTGGCCTAAAATGGGAGTCAAAGTCGGCAAAATCGCCGATTCGTAAATATCGCTGACACATCAAAATTCGCGAGAGCATAATTTCGTCAATTTTCCACCAAATTTCGTACTTTTTGTTTTATTACCTTCACAAAAAGATTCTCTACGATTTCATAAGAAAAAATAACAAATTTTTTTTTTTAAAATTCTTGGACACTGGTGCGTGACTCCAGATTTGGGCCTTGGACCCTGAAAGGGTTAACCCTTTCAGGGTCAACAGGCCCTCTCAGAAAATTGTTCTCAGGGTCGCCTAAATTTAAAAAAAAAAAAAATTATTTTTCTTATGAAAAAATAGAGAATCTTTTCCCGATCATAATGACATCAAAAGTATGAAATTTGATGGAAAACTTACGTAATTACGCTCTCGCGAAGTTAGCAGTCTCAACGATGTTTACGCATCGGCGATTTTGCCCACTTTGAGCCCTATTTTCGGCCAATTCCCGTGTACTAGTCGACAAAA